CTCTGTTTGTATCTGTCTGTCTCTGTCTGTCTCTGTCTGTCTCTTTTTGTCTCTGTATGTCTCTGTCTGTCTCTGTCTGTCTCTTTTTGTCTCTGTCTGTCTCTTTTTGTCTCTGTCTGTCTTTGTCTGTCTTTGTCTGTCTCTGTCTCTGTCTGTCTCTGTCTGTCTCGGTTTGTCTTTGTCTGTCTCTGTCTGTCTGTCTGTCTGTCTGTCTGTCTCTGTCTGTCCCTGTCTGGCTTCCCTGTCTGTCTCTGTCTGTCTCTGTTTGTCTCTGTCTGTGCGTCCGTCCGTCTGTGAGTCAGTCCAGCCAGTCCGTCCAGTCAGTCAGTCAGTCAGTCAGTCACTCATTCTGTCTGTCTGTCTGTCTGTCTGTTTGCGTATGCACCGATCACCTATCTATCTGTCTGTTTGTCTATCTATCTATCTATCTGTCTATCTATCTATCTATCTTTGGGTCCATTGATCTATGTAACTATTGATTTATCTATGAACCTATCTACCTACCGCCTACCACTAATCGACCGACAGATCGCCCTATGGACATATCTATCCAGCAATCTACCTGTTCCACAATCTTTCATGATTGCGCGCTACTTATCCATCAGTGAACATATCCATGTCACTTGGTCATTTTACTTACCTCAAGGTGTTAAGCTAAGTTAAGCTAAGCTTTCATACACATACTATTAAAGATCTACCTCCCTTACAACTGTCAGCTGTCTATCGATCCAACTATATATTGGTGATTCCCTGCGCTGGCCTAGCAGACTGGCACTTGGCAAACCATCCACACAAGCACCCACGTGTCACAACTTTGTGAGAGCCGTGCTTCAATTTGGTAAACCGGTGGAGCTGCAGCATAGAATATGCTGGCCGCCCCTTTCCACCAACCTCTGGAATCAAGCTAGCCCGTGCACCTGTGATCTCCTGAGCCAGATTGGCATCTTCTTTGTCGTCACGCAGTTGATTACATATCAAGCTCAATCACTACTGCGCCTGCCAATGTCGATCATGACATTACTGCTGTGCACTGCTGCGAGGTTGGCACAAAAAAAACAAACACGGATTGGGTGACTAGTCTCCTCAGTAGTTTCACGGAGGATGTTGATGGCAAACTTGAAATGATCAACCTTTCAGGCAATTGGATTGAGAAAAATGTGAGATTCCTCACATACCTCTCAGCAAGAAACTATTGCCCTATAAAGCGTCAACATGCGTAACTAAAATAGACAAGCGCACATTCCTTGCAATTGTATTGTTTCAAGAGTTGGCCTGGTCTGTTGAACCATGGAGTAGCACGCAGCCAGCGCAAACCAGCAATGATTGAAGTGCATCGTTCAATCGCCCGCCAGTCATTGCATGAGGCAGCTAAATGGTAATCAACACTATGAGATGCTCATTGTTAAAGACCCAAATATCAATCAGATTCCTTTGCCATGCGCAATTTCAAGCCTAAAGTATCCTAAAACCAAGTTGTTCATCATCAATTTGCCTTGTTTTTCAAAACCTATGGCTGCTTCAGGTCCGGGTACATGTTTCATCATGGTTTTTTGCATATCGCAATGTGAATAGGTGGAGCAACTAGTTTGAACCAATGTTAACAGCAAGACACGGCTTGGTTTTCATGACAGCTAGATGTTTTTTGCACTGGTGTCAAATTCCAAATCGTCCTATAAAGTGCAACAAGTTCTCATATATCTTGAACCTCCAACAAATCCATTTCCATGTTTGGCATCAATCCCCAACTCTTAGGTACAAGCTAAATGCTTTAGGTACATTATTAAAGAAAATTAACAAGTCAAAGGCGAGACAGGCTCTAAAAACTAGTGCATTGCTCTATATACAAGACTATGCAAGTCACTTGTTTTAAAGACCGTGATGGATATACATACAACGATGTATGTTCATATATATAGGGGATGTATATATATATATAATGATGTGTTCCCTGGTGATTGTGCTTTTGGTTTTTGTCGTAACCACAGAAGCCAAACAGAACTTGTTGCGCAGGAATTCAACCCATGCACGATATATAGGGATCCCTTTGCATGTCGGGAATGGGTAGGCTTTACAGTTTCAAATCTATATTCTTTCTCCATGGAAACTCGCATGTCATGACTTGTTTTTTGTACAAGGTTCCGTTCCACGGAGTGCTGCACGCTGAGCACGTTTCTTCTCTTCCTTCGCGTTGATCTGGTCGCAAAGCTCCTGTTATACAAATTGGCTGCACACATATGAAATTACACGCGTGCACGTAGCCTGGTCGACCGATGCCACAGGTCTATATATAGAACAGTTTCGTCTTTCATTGTTAAGCCCACTTAAAAAGTTAAACATCCAAAAGAAAAGGCACTGAGATGCGATCGATGAGTGAAGGTCCTGAAGGTCAGGGTTCAAAATGAGGCACAGCTGCTGAAATCGCAAAGCCTCAAAAATCAAGTCGCAACTGTGATTTGCATTTATATGCTCTTTCCATTCCACTCAGTGGCTTCTATATATGTATATACGGCGTGCCTATATATGATTTTCTTGGAAGCAGACCCGCATGCTCAAAACATGCATGAACTTTAACTTCAATATCACAACCAATGTTCAACTAATTATCGCAATCAACCCTCACATCGAACACTGCATCCAAATCACTGTCGAGGGCTTGCGGATCCTGACCTTCATCTTGACCAGGCCCAAAAATTTGCGAACCATCCATGAGTCATGAACGATGTCACTATCGTCAGTACTCTTATGCTTGTTGCATGCACGGTAGAGCTTAGCCAGTTCTTCTCGGAGAGGGTCGACTGTTGGCTGTGGTGCTCCAGGCAAGCTTGCCATCCGACTCAACAAGGGAACTAAGAGAGCGAAGATATGATCCTTGCAAGATGCCTTGACCGTTGCCGAGACGCCCTCAGCGAAAAGGACTTTTCCTTCTTCCTGCAAGAGTCCACGGATGTCCCGTGAATCCTCCCACTCACTGGACAGGCCAGAGCAGTCAAGCTTGCCCTTGCCTTCCCCGTCGATGCTTTCAGATGACATGTCCAAACAATAGCTGGAAGGATGAATCACCAAAATGCTTGGGCCCAAATTGCTGTAAATATGGGCTGCTGCTTTGAGGCTGTACGCAAACAAATTTATATAACACACATGTATAAGTATGTGTGCGTGCCATGCGCATATATTCTCACACACCTCTTCTCGTGCGAGTGAACTCGATCCCTGTAATATACAGACCACTTCAGAAGCATCCGTGCAACGCAGGACGCGCGGAAGATCGCCTCACTGGCGTTGATCTGATCGATGGAAAAGTCCATCGCTGCACGGGTAGGGCTGTCTCGAGTGCAAGATCGAGAAAGTAAAAAAACATTATGTGTTTCAATCGACCATGACCACGGTCATGTGGCCAATTGCGGCCCTGCCGCTGGAAAATAATTCCCTCATTGTGTTGTATAATTGATGAGACGGTCAAACCACTTTGTACATGTTCATGCATGTGCCTTTTGGGGACAAACTCTGTCCTTCAAGGGTTTACAAGTGGTGCCAGTCCATGTTTACCGATCTATACGCGGTGCTGAAGAGCACTTGACCCCCTCAATCAGAGCCAAGGACCAGCACCTCACCTGCATACGCTGAGAGCAGGGTTGTAGGGAGAGGTGAACCAACGCCAAAGGTGGTGCCAAACACCAGGAAAAGTTAGGTTCTTGGAAAAAAACGAGTTTTTTATTGGAAAGACGAACTCTTTAGGAACAGCCTATGGAAAGACGAAGTCTTCAGATGGAACCTACAAATTTGTAGGTTTTCGATGCTGATGGTAGAAGCTACTAGTAGCTAGCCATCGCTATTCGGGTGGAGGCCATCGCTACTAGGGTGGAGGCCATTACTACTAGTAACAAGAAGCTACTAGTA